AAGCCTATGGTGAAGAATCAAAATTATGCGACTTATTCATTGCAATACCTGCTACAAGTGCGTCTGTAAAGCGTTTTTCTACTATAGAGGATTAAAAATATCAGAAATTTCACAAATGAAGAGAGATAGCTAAATAATAAATGAATTTGTTAGGAATGACGAATACAAGTAAAAGTCTAGTAAGTCTGTTTATAATTTCATTTGAATTTGCACCCCTTTCCTCAGGGCAAAGATTAATAATAGTGGTTACCGGTAGTGAAAATGGTTTTGTAGAGATTGTCCATTTGAAATTCAAAGTGATCAAATATATTAATCCATACAAAGCTACAGGATACGATGTAATACTAGAAACAATACTAAAATAGTTACCTCGAAAGATAATTGTCCAACTAGGTCAATATACAATAGTATCCCACGACTATGTTACTTTCCCATACACTGTAAATTTTCCCAGATAATTATGATTAGTAAACCACCTGTAGATGCAAATTCATACAGACCAATAAGCCACTTACACCAAATGTCGACAGTGTTTGGGAAACTACTGCTCAAAAAACTGTTACCACCAATTCGGGTTTAGAGAAAACTAATCCACAATAGAGCCATGCGATTTACTAGTTCACTACGACATGCAATGGGGAAAAAAGTTATATGCCTCTGTATTCTTCGATGTATAACAAACCTTCAACAAAGTATGGCATGAGAGAATACTATATAAGATATCGAAGAAATTTTCAACTCAAATCTTCTTCTTTAAGTGCCGTGTCCGTATTCAAACGTTGGCCTGAAACCGTTCTCATAATATTTCAGGACCGTGTTGCGAATATGTATCGACAGGTTTCTGTTACAAAAAACTGGTCTAATTTCACGTTTCGACATAAAACGTGACATTTGACATAAAAAACGTGACCTTCGACATAAAACGTGAGATAATATAAGCCTCCACAAAAAACAGCGCATCCGCAAAAAGAAGGGGTCAAAGTCAAAGATCAAAGTGAACTAAAGTGGCTTCCTTTCTGCTATGCTTTCAAATCAAAATGGACAATGAAGTAAGCAACTACAATCTAATCAACTCAGTAGTACCATAGGGCAGCGCCTAGGACCCTTTCTGTACCTGATCTACACAGTGGACCTACCAACAAGCTAACTTAACCTAACCCACTTTATTCTAATAATAACCCTATACCAATCAAACCCGTGGTAAAATATCTTGGACTGCATCTAGATCAAAACTTGGAGAAACCATATCAAAGCTCAAAAACAACAACAAACTCTTAAAACTAGATAAATAAACTGGTTAATCGGAAGACAATCACCGTTATCAATCTAAAGTAAAATAATCGTATACAATGCGATCCTGAAGCCTATCTAGACATAAAGTGAGGAACTATGGGGCTGTGCAAAGCCACCAAATATAAAAATAGTGTTTAAAACACTCCGCTCTATGACCAATGCAATACAGATCTCAAAATTAAATTTGTTAAAGATGTAATTCGGTCAAGAGCTATAAAGTAAAACAACCGAATAGAAGATTATATCAACCAACTTGTCAGAAGCACAGAATAATAAACAATCAGAATTCTCTGCTTGTCAAGATAAGTACGTTTGCGCAGCTGTTCAGTGAAATAATATGTATATATATATATATATATATATATATATATATATATATATATATATATATATATATATATATGTATGTATGCTGATAATCTGATGTACATAGAAAAATTCTTCTTTGTCAACCATTTTCCATCCACTCCTGAATGTAGGTCTCTCCCAATTGCTTCCATCTTTCTCTATCTTGCGCCAATCTGCCACTGCTCTTATGTCATCTACCCATATTTTTTGAGGTCTTCCCATGCTTCTTGTTGTCGTCCTTGGTCTCCATTCTAGAATTCTCCGTGTCCACCTGTTATCATTATATCGGGCTACGTGACCTGCCTGGGCGCTGAAATGAAATGGCGCTGGGCAGGGGTAGAAAAATTAACCCGGTTTAATTTATTTACGACAACCATAGACATAAAATGTACTATTTTATTCATACTTTTAGTTGAAGAATAGGTTAAATTATTTCAAATTAAATAAATTATTAATCTTTAAAAAATTAAATTACGGTTCTGCCGTAGCTTGTCAGAAATTTTTCAATCCGAGTCTATGTTTCCGTTTAAAATATGGCGATCGCGTGCTGACAAAGTTCATGGACGGCATCTGAGAGTGGACATTCTGATTGATATTTATTGTGTCAGAAGACTGTCCAATCAACAAGTAATCAAAAAAGTCTGAGAAAAAACTCACCAGAATATCTAATTAAATGAATACCAGTAAGCTGCCACTGTTCAGTTGCCCCTCAATATATCAGCATCAACAAATTTGCAACAAAGGTGGTTCTGAAGAAAACATTTCAGATTCTAAAAGTAAAATTCGTCGGCAATCGAGATCCTTTAGATAAGTTATAAAAAATTGTAGACTTTTAAAATTTCTCTAGTAATATATGACTCGAGCAGATTGTTAAATCGAATTATTATTAATATGCGAATTAAATGTTGAGGCTTTATTAGACCTGTAATTAAAAATATTACAAACAACTGTTTTTTTTTAATCATACTTTCAAGGTCGAGGTAAAAATTTAATTTGTTTTATCAAACAATATAAAAAGACTTCTTTCTTCATTACATTTTTTGCAACGTCATACATCTTTTGGACCAAAAAGTACACAGTACACTACAACCGATCAAAGAATAGCAAAGTCTTTATTTTCAGACTATCAGCTCTATTTGATAATCTGTACACCCCATTTATTATAAAAAAGTAATTCAGTTTAAATTTTAGATTTATGGAAACACCCAGTATATATTTTCAATTTTTTCTTAACATTCCATTTGGATGAAAATAAAAGTGTCCTTATTAAAAATGATTATACTTATCTAAAAGTGTTTGTCATTTTATAAATACCTATCACTATTCAATTTGATTAAACCTACTATTTGACTAGAAAAATTGAATACTTCAGTTCATACTTTCAAGAGTTATCAGTGAATAAAGGGTTTGTTTCAACAAGAACGATATTATGCGCATAAAAATTTTGATACAAGCCTAGTATGGTTAAGGGTATATAAAGTTGTGAGAAGGTCCACTCCGATATCATTCTATTCATTTTCCTATATTTTTAACGTAACTAGTTGATAGTTATAATATAGTACTTAAATTTTTCTGTCTGACATAGTCTTATTGTTTTTATAAGATCCAATCAGTAGGGATTCATCTTGAAAAAAATAACGATAATTTGATAATTTATGCTGTAGTCGCAGATAAAATATTGAGAAGAAATAACTAGAGAATATACTCTATAAACCCAGAACATAGTGTATCATTACAAAACAACGGTCGCTCAAGCTTAACCTCCTTGATATTGTAAAATAAATTACATAAAACAACATTATTTATAGGCAAAATGACTAAATATTAAAATTTGTTTTATCAATTCATTACACTGCCACATGAAGCTAGCCAAGGAAGTCTTCCATGTTCCAGTTAGATGGGACCATTGCAATATCATCACTATACATATATGGAAGATGAAAACAGACCACATGGCCCCTTGAATCAAGATACCTTTCTAGGTGGAGCTAACCATAAGAGAGATATAGAATGACCCCAAAAGACACCCAAAGTCTGGTGGCCACAACTGGTGTACAGATGGGTCAAAAACGGGGGATGGTTCGGGAGCAAGAGCATACAGTCCCACTGGGAAAATAAAAGAAACTGTGCAAGGATGAACAATATGAGGATGCAAATAAGTGGATCAACATCTACACAGACAGTTAGGCAGCTTTGGGAGCTCTATCCAATCCAATGATTACATCCAAACTGATGTGGGAATATCACAGAGAACTTGACCTAGCGGACCGCAACAGTGTAAAACTTGTTTGGGTGCCAGGTCATCAAGGAATCAACGGCAATGAAAGAGCTAATGAACTTGTCAGAAGAGGATCAGCAACAAGATACTTCTTGTTCTGGGCGTGCCAAAGAACACAATCGGAAAGCGCATATGAGGATGGATTTGGCGAAAACATGAATACTGAAAACAAATTCCCCACATAAACTCATGAGAGAAGAGTTTCATGACTAAGACCTGCGAAAAGAGAACTTCAGAACTGCACAAAATGAACAGGAAGCTACTAAGTGGAGACCTGAATACGATGGGACTATTCAACGGATATCTAAACAACAGATTATGCGACAAAGAGACAAGCAATATATAGAGACTGCAGTCCAAGTCCAAATACATATATTATTCACTCAAAAGACCTCTACCAACTAGTGGGGGTAAAAATATTTTGGAATGCGTTTCGTAAAATATTAAAGCAATAATAATACAATAAGTAAAGGCTGCAGCGTAACTGAAGAATGCTTAAGACGGCTTCCAAAAGAAAACAATATTTGACGGTTACCAACAGTCTACTTACAATCACAGAAGCAGCTATTGAATCTTTCATTTCATAAAATTCCATCAACACTTTACTTGGTTATCGATAATTCATAACATTCAATGTTAAAATGCAACCAAATGGAGCAATGCTCTTTTTTAAGTATAGCATTCTGTGATAGCAAAAGATGTAGTAACGACAAAGTAACGGATGGCGAAATCACATCCCTAATTGTTGCATTGGTTCTTGAGATATATATATATATATATATATATATATATATATATATATATATATATATATACATATATATATATATATATATATATATATATATATATATATATATATATATATATATATATATATATATATATATATATATGTATATATATATATATATATATATATATATATATATATATGTATATATATATATATATATATATATATATATATATATACGGATATGTCTAACAGAAAAACTTTAGTATTGTTCTTTAATATAGAGTAAATTTTTTTTACTACAAAACATCAATAAAAATACTAACAGATACAATGAAGTAAAAAAAGGAAGTGTCTTCACTGTCAAGATGTTATCCTAGTACAATTATATACAATTTAACAGTTCAAAATGAATATATAGCAAACTATACTGCATAAATAACAATTGGTGTATCAAATTGGAAACAATTTATTCTAAATTACAATTAAAATTACAACCTATTCCTAAAAAGAAAAAATTGGTCATGTTAATCGAAATGTACAGCCGGTTTTAAACATCTTATTTCAAGATGTACATATACCATATCCTGGATCTCTGTGAGATTTAACAATAAATGAGCTGCACGAAGACATACGATTGTTTTCTAAAATAAATATCAGTATTAAAAGTATTTTAGAAACCAAACTGCACTTCTTGTAACCAATAATTTTCTTAACAAGCTTCTAGGACACCGTCCTGTTCGAAAATAATACCAACAGGATAAAAACATATATTCAACAATTAAAGACTAATACCAAAAAATCTTTCCAACAAAATCCACATACCAACATTTCCTAACCTCAATCTTTAATAAAAACATACCGACATGTTTCTGGTCAAGCTGTATTAGCTGTGTATTATAACAAATACACTTGTATAGGACATTTTCTGCATGCGGCTCTTCTAAGCTTCATACAGTGTCCCCTTAAAATGATGAACCATATGATATTTAAGCTATATTTAAATTTATTTAATAGGAAATTCCGGCCAATAGTTAACGTGAAAACGCTGGGTAGTGCCTTCGAATAATCGGTCTAACCAGTTGGAGAAGCCGTCTAGAAGAGCTCCTTGCAAGAGGACGCCGTCATCGGAGTCTGAGCTATCAGAATTAAATCCTATAAAAGCCCCACTTTCGCAGTCAATCTCAGCCACTTTTGGCGTTGGCCCATTTTTAGCTTTCTAAAACATATAAAAAGGATGTATAAGTATACGATAAGTAGATATCGAAAGTGCTTTTCTTTCAAATGTACGAGCGAAACGGTTATGTAGAAAAATATTAAAACTGATAGACGAGACGATAGAAAACAGAAAAAAAAATACATTTGGATGAATACAATAAAATCAATAAATAAAAACGAATGGCAAAATAATATAGAAATAGAAGAATTAGAACAAGAGGATGATAAGTTTAACACGTATAAAAAAAACAAAAGAAATAATCGGACAAACAGGAAACACTAGGAAGATGGAGATAAAATGTTTTAAAATGAACAGTGTCAACGTGTGACACCCCGTTTTAAAGGCTTTTTAATTTTATATTCAGCAATATACGATATTTTAGTTTTTGTAAATTCATACCCAAAAAACATAAATTTTTATTTTTAATGCTTCTTACCAGCTGCCGGACAAGCAACTTTAATTCGATCTTCGATTTATGTTTAAGTGTGTCCATGTCTTTCCCATTTTTCCCAGAAATAGATATATTCGGAACATGATTAAATTACCTTTCCATCTTCTTAATTAAATTCGTTGTTTTTAACTCCTCCTATGCACATGTATTTCGTTTTTGTTAAATTAATATTTAGACCTCATCGCTCGCATTCTTATATTAATCGCTTTGTCATCAATTGTCGATGTTCCTGTTCTTGTGCGATAACTACTTGATCTTCCGAGAACTGTAGCGTTATAGGGTTGTTTCGTCGTCTAATGTATTACCCATTCCATAACACAACTCCTTCATTTCTTCAGTGCCTTAGCCATAAGCTGTCCAATACTTAGCATAGTCTACATAGGAGTATTGTATCATAAGCTTTCGTTAAGTCCACAAATAATAGCTGAGTTGGTTTATCCCTAACCATTTTTTTTTCATTCAGTTGTGTTAAAGTGTAGATGTTGTCGATGCAAGATCGTCTAATTCGAAATCCTGCTGCTGTTCCAGTTCCAGTGGTTCGTATTCGTTTTCGACTAGGGTTTTCATAACTTAATTTATGAACACCATTTTTTAAATATTATTAATGCCTATAATCAAGTAGTCGCCGAGCTATACCTGCCACACTTTACCATTGTATTGCTAATTTTTATGGACGGTCATGATGGCACATTTATCGGAAGCCCATACAATGGAAATGTTAATTGCAATAAAATACAAACACATAAGAAGCACAAAAACTACTTTTTCGGACGAAGCAACGTGTACCAACGAGGCTCACACACAGTTCCCGAAAAAGTGAATTTATGGTTTTTTGTTATTGAAACTAGAATCATTAGGTCTTATTTGTTGATGTCTCTTTTATGGCAAAGGATTTTTTATCATTTTTCCTGGTACGACAATTAAAAGTTCTATAGTGATAATAAATATGAAGATGAAATAAATAGGAGTGTTTGGAATACCAAAGTTTTTCTTCTTTACTGTCATAAAAAACTATAAAAAAAATGTAGTTCGTGTAGAACAATCAAAAATAAGTCTATTGCTAAATAGTGAATTAAAAACATTTTAAAACGGGTTGTTACAAGCTACAATCCGACAAGCGAGAGCTGGCGGGTGAGCTGCGCGAAAATAGAAAAGGAATTATTCTAAGAGAGATACTTCTTAATTATTCTAGGAGAGGTACTTAAACGCAAGTGTCACAAACACGTAGTTGCCGTATCAAAAATTTAGTTGGGATCTGAAAATTACGTTAGTAGATACACGTTTTATATTTACCATATTATTATGTTAGACAATTAATGAAAACGTTTGACCAATTTTTGAATTAAATTTATAATTAAATTATAATTAAATTTATAATTAATATAATATGTTTATGTAGAATAAGTCCTGCACATAACAAATGTTAACTTACTTAGGTGCAAAGTTATATAAACAGTATAATACATATAAATAAATATTACCTATAGCATTATTCTTCAGTAAATATAAAAATTTCACTTAAAATAACAGTTTTATTATCAATAATAGTTAATAATAAACCTTATTATTTACTGGTAATCTAATGCACTGTAGTTTTTTATTTATTTATTGATTGTAACTTAACTTGACATAAATTAAATTATTTAAATCTGAATTTATTTTGGAAATGAGTATTATAATTACCAGTTAATTGAGCTACACTTTCTTGTATCTTTTTTAAATCAACTAAAACTTTATCTACATTAGCTTCTTCAGTTGTAAACTTAAAAACATTGAAAATTATTTCTCCTGCTTTAGATTTCAAAGGTTTGCCCTTTAATACACTTGCCATTTTAATAAATATAACTAATAGTTTATAATATAAGGCCACTCCAAATAAAAATGGAAATACTTGACAACACTGTTAGAAATCTAGCACTAATCGCTACGATGTGAACTCCTAACCGACAGCAATAGAAATGAGCAATCCCTTCCACTTTTCAATTTGTTCTACGCGCAACCCGACAGCTCTCGCTTATCGCATTGTACCTCCTTTTATTTAGACATTTTGAAAGCGTTCTTGTTCCCGCAACGTGGATGAAGCGTGATGCAAATAATTTTATTCAGAAATTACAGTGTTAGAAATAAAAAACGATCTCTTTAAGGATTTTTCTTAAACCCTAATAAAGTCAAGAATTAATATATTATATAAATTTGGACCAGATTATATATAAACAATTTGTAATGTCTTCCATATATGAAAACGTGGCAGTCCTCATAAATGAAAATGAAAACAGTATTTCTTACCTTCTTCGTTTTTTCCATGTGTTTAGCATGAAACACACAGAAATATTTTCTATGTCCGTTTATAGAGAGAACCGTACCGACACAATTCCTTGGATTGATATTCAGTTCTCTCTCTTCAGGTAAAGATAGCTGAAGCAGCTCCTTATACCATTTAAGGCCTCTTTCAATGTACATATACGAAAACATTAAGGTTTTATTTCTGAAAAAGAAAAATATATTTTAAACAAAAATGTATATAAAAACAAATTGTTTTATACAAATTTACATTGTTTTATACAAATTATTACAATGCAACCGGTACAATTAATTCATACGAGTTTTTTCAATTACCTATAGCAATAAACTATTGCTGACAAATGTGGACCAAATATAAAACGAATATAAAAATGTAGGATCTCTTTCTATTTAATAAGGACACGATAGGCTCTTTTTGAAATCGTATTGGTTTGTGTCCGTCCATTTGTCTTTGAATTTGTGTGTGTAATTATTTTATTTTTAATGGAAAATCATCACAATTTTATTAAAATCCGAAGTGGACATCGAAACGTTATTTTAAACTGAACATGCAGGTAATTCCCAATAAAATAGTAAATTAAATTTAAATTATTTTTATATTTAACCCAGATTGATTTAACTTGATTATCTATAATGATTAACTTTCTTGATAACCGCCTAAATACTTTTAGTATGTAGTAATCAACCATAGAGTGTAGTTGTGAATTGCTGGCTTTGAAATATTTGGCGATCATATTGTGATAAAGTTTACAGTTTTGATATAATGGCCGAATTCGGAATACGATATGCTAAGTAAGTAAATATTTGTTATAATGTATACAAAAAAAATTCTTTTTGTGTTTACCTGTAGAAAACACATATACATTTCAATTTAGATTTATAAAGTGGATAAATTATTATTTATTTTATAACTAGAGTTAGGCTATTTGATTTAAGTATACAAAATATTGTACAGGAAAATGCCATACTATTTATTTTTAGGAGCTTTTCATCGGAGGATGGGCTTAGTATGTTAGAAAATGATGAAAATTTAGTAGCAAATGTAGATAGTATTACTTTGATGCCTCCAATAAATGCATGTAATGTCCTAACAGACGAAGACTCTGGTGATGAAGATATAATGTTGATGGATAACTTACCTGGCTCGCAATTACAAGTTTCAGCTGAAATAAATGTGCAAAATAATGACGGTGACGCATTAGTAACCGATTCTCAAGATAATATTTCATTACCAGAGCAGGGAGAAAAAAGAACAGTTAAAGGGTCTAAGAAAAAAAAAATCTACCACTGGGTAGAAGACATTCAGATGGAAGATCAATGTTTCATTGTAAACGAACTTCCAGAACAACATGATTCTAAGAGTCTCTTTGAATAGTTTTCCTTTTTTTTTTATGAAGAACTCATACACCTGATAACGTCAGAAACTAATCGATATGCTTCACAGAAGAATCACCAAAAAGAAGTTGGAGAATATGAAGTCAAAGCTTCTCTGGGAACTCTCATATTGAGTGGGTATGTAAACATTCCTCACAAGAGAATGTTTTGCCAACGTGACAGAGATGTTAACAATCAACTTGTGACAGAAGCTCTTACGAGAGATAAATTTGAATTTATTATATCAAATTTTCAGCTGACAGATAACTGCACCTTAGAAGAAGGAGATAAATTTGCAAAAGTCAGGCCTTTGTATGTAAATTTAAATAAGAAGTTTATAAAATACGGAACTTTAACGACAACGCATAGATGAAGCAATGGTTCCGTACTTTGGAAGCCATTCATGCAAACAATTTATACATGGTAAATCCATCAGATACAGTTACAAATTATGGGTTGGTACATCACGTCTTGGCTATATTTACTGGTTTGAACCATACCAAGGATCATCAACTAATATTAGTAAGATTTATAACGATTATGGAGTCGGAGCAAGCGTCTGATTGGAATATTCTGATGTGTTAAGGAAAAAATGGCCAAATGAAAAGTTCCACTTGGTTCTTGATAACTTATGAACCTCTATTCCCCTTATGAACAGAAAAAAGCTTTTTAGGCACTGGCACGGTTAGAGAAAATCGTTTACCAAGAGTACACTTATAAGATTTAAAAATTATGAAAAAAGGTAAGAGAGTGGCATATGACTATAGAAAAATTTCTGATCAAAATATAATTGCAGTAAAATGGCATGGCAGTCATTTAGTAACGCTATGTTCAAACTCAGCAGTACTTCAACAAATTCATCTTGTAAAGCGGTAATCACAGAAAAAGAAGAAAGCGATCCAAGTATGAAACAAAATAGACAATCTTCCTCTGTAATACCAGTAATATTTATCATTTCAGGTAGAACAACCGCATCTCGTACATGAGTATAATGTAAACATGGGCGGAGTAGATCGTAGTGATTAAAATATTAATCTTTACCGCATTTGTATTCACGGCAAAAAATGGTATTTTTCATTGATCAATCAATCCATTGACATGGCTGTTCAGAATGCATGGCAACTTCAATCGTTTGTATGGAGGAAAACTGACCAGTTATCATTTAGAAGACGCATTGCAACGTTATTCTTACAACAAAATAAAAAAACCTACTTCCTATTCTCGAGGTTGTCCATCAGTCAATGAAAACATTGATATTCGCTATGATCGACTAGACCATTTAGTAATTCCACAGGAAAAACCAACTCGATGAAGTTTGTGCCACGATAGAGCAAAAATGAGGTGTTCAAAATGAAACATAGGCTTACATGTTAAAAGTTTTGTTTCACACCACACTAAACTATTATTAAAAAATATTTTCATGTAGGTTTCAGGCATATCTGGGTTAAAAATAGGTACCTAATGCCACAAGAAAATAACTTCAATAAAAACAATCAACAATGTTTTGTTTTAAAATAAAATGTAAATCATATTTTGGATACTTACTTTCTATATGGCCACACGGCCTTATGAAACGGTGGAATTAACTGTTGTCTGGACTGCATATCCAGCACTAAAACAATAGTACGACAACCGGGTTTCAGTAACCTAACTAAAGCGTTGTAACTTTCGGATCGCATTTCGTGTAAACGTAGTTCAGGCTGGTATGACGTATTGACGCTGTTGTTATTGTCGTTACTTGTTTTGGCTTTCTGCTTTTGAATGCTCTCTTCTTCTATTCGACTAAAAAAAATAACCATATATATATACAGGGCGATCAAACTTTGTGACACAGTCCGTTATAACTATTATTATAGAAGATACCAAAAAAAGTTATTTATAAAAATTGTAGGTAGCTAGCTGTAGCTTCACATTTTAAAATTAATTACAAATCTACAAGGTCTTTCATAAAACTATACCGCATCAAAGATTTATTTTTAAATGAAACAACAAACAAGGAGAAAGTATCCCAAGAGATTGGAAAGTCTCGTACATAAACTCCATCTACAAAAAGGGAAACAGGAATGACTGCAGTAATTACCGAGGTATCAGCATTACGTCATCCACTGGCAAACTGTATGAAAGGGTTCTGAAAGCCAGAATAGAAAAAGAAGCCACAGAGATCGAAGAACAAAGTGGATTCCGACCAGGAAGATCTTGTGTCGACAATGTATTTACTCTCAAACACCTAACGGAAAAGAGATTAGCAAGAGGACTAGAACTTCATGCCACTTTTATAGATCTCCGTAAAGCGTTTGACTCCGTACCACTGCAGAGACTATGGACAACATTGGAAAACGCAGGTATAAATGCAGTATATATAAATGCCGTGAAAAAGCTATATCAAGATAACCAAGCTTATATTAAGGTTGGAAACCAAATTTCCAAGGGTTTCACCCAAACAAAGGGTGTCAAACAGGGCTCTTGCCTCTCTCCAACCCTGTTTAAAATAAATCTTGGTAATGCTTTAAAACATTGGATGAGAAAATGCAGCCCAATGGGCATATGGGTAAATGACACTCCTATATACACAATCCTCTTCGCAGACGACCAGGTAGTTCTTGCCGAGGACCTACAAGATATGACGTAGATGATAAACAAACTAATAGACGAATTCAAAAAATGGGGATTAGAGGTTAATACCGAAAAGACACAATACATGAATATAGGAGGCATCGGTCAAGACATGGAAACAGAAAGCGGATTGATTAAAAACGTTGATCAGTACGAATATCTCGGAGTTACACTAAGCGAAGACGGGAGAGACGACAAAGATATAACAAGAAAAATAGGAAAAGGAAAAAACATGATAAAAACACTACATCCGATCCTGTGGAATAAAACTTTAACTAAGAAAACAAAGAAAAATATACATCAGGCTATGATTCAGCCGGTGCTGACGTATGGGTCAGAAGTGTGGGTCTTTAACAATAATATGTCACAAAAACTCCTCTCAACGGAAATGATGTACTGGAGAAGATGTTCCGGGTTAACTTTGTTTGACCACATAAGAAATGAAAACATAAGAGAGATAATGAAAGTAAAGAACACAATAATGGATACGATAGCCGAAAAACAATTAAAATGGTATGGACACCTGAGACGGATGAACGAAGAAAGGATACCACGAAAGGTTTGGAACTGGAGACCTACACAGAGAAATAAAAGGGGAAGGCCAAGAAAGAAATGGATATCCAATATTCATATAGAAATGGAAAATAGAGGTCTTCAAGAAGGAGACTGGGCCGATAAGAAATTGGCGATTGGGATGCGAGAAGCGACAAAATTAAAGTTGCAAACACTCGCTATATATATATATATATATATATATATATATATATATATATATATATATATATAAACAACCTGTATATTTTAAATTTAAAATTCGCTTCACTTTCTGGTTACAATAATATCAAGTTGTTACTCAGGGTATTTAAAAAGTTATAGCTAAATTCCAATGAAAATCGTAACACGTTCAACACCATGTATAATTGAAACGGTGTAAAAAACAACGATCTCTTGTAGCCTTAATTTTTGAAATGATCGTCAAAATTCATAAAAATGATCGACTTTGCAAACACTCTTTAGATCCAATACAGGGTAAGTCAAAAAACAAATTCATTATTTGTTTAGTATTTTTAAATGCATTACCCCGTGTTTTATATCACCATCATAAAACTAAAGTCAATGTAGTTTAGTTTGTCCTAAGTATTTTTTTAGACTATCCTTTTTTTAACAACGTTTCAAATTATGAATGATAAAGCCCAATTTGTTCGAAGACGTTCAAGGGAAAATATGAGAAGAGATGTGTAATAAAAACAGTTAAACATCCCACCTAAATAATGTTCTGGTCTGTAATCAGTGGTAAGGGAATGGGACGTTTGTATGTGGTAAAAGGAACTATGCGACCATTACAAAAGAGTATTGCAGACAAGATTGATTCCACAAATGAACGAATGGTTTGGTAATGGCCGCAATGTCTTTATGCAGGATGAGCATAAAGGAGCATCTAACCACACTGCTAAAAGCATTAAAAGTTTTGTGATAGGCAAGAAATTCCTCTATTACCATGGCCCTGCAACTTACCAGATATAAACCCCATCAAAAATGTCTGGGAGTGCCTAAAAAGGAAATTGGCCGGGGAATTAATAACAAACCAGGTCCAGTTGATATATAAAATCAAATTTCATAGGAGCCATAATGACCATTTAAAAGAAATAAGAGCAAGATGAAGAAATCTAGAATCCAACTTGATTATAATGGGTCTTTTTAAACCATATCGTTTCTGAGTGTTCCAATTATAACTTATACTATACACTTCATTATATTTAACTTCACTGAACGTGAAAGGAGAAAGTCAGATAATGAGAACTGTTCACTCAATCAACATACGAATTCAAATAATTTTTCTTCGATGTACAATATTTTCAAAAACTAATTACTATTAATTGAATTAAAAATATTAGCCGCCACTTTTTGACTGCCAACCGATTATCAATGTATTCTCCTAATTTTAAATGTATGTAAAATGTGAGTGTCATGAACTACTGCTATAAACGTAGTGATCGGGCAGTGGCATCTTGTTCTATTAAACACGAAATCATAAAACCGAATAAGCCAAACTAAAGAGCATCGAAAACTTCGAAGAATGAATAATCCTGACAGAATGATAATGGTAGATTTTTAACTAATAAACCAAATTCAAGATTTAACTTTAACAAATACTTAATTAATACTTACACTAAATACGCCATGAAATAACCTATTGCTAGTATAAACAATATTGTTCCCAGTATCGAAAGTAATGCTAATATTTGATCTTTGGTCAAACCGTCGTAAGTCGTCTCTACGAATTGAATTATTCTAGTATATATTCTGCCAACTAATCCTCTAGCATGTTCGTCTAATAAATCCTAAAATAAGTAATAATATTTATAATATGTACATGTATTGGTAGAGAAAATAATCTAATATTAAGAAATTAACATTGCTGCTGAAATACTTAAAGCTGATCCGCATCTAACTGCTGAATTTTTGCTCCCATAATCCGAGAGGTGTGGGAAACAAACCACATTCCAGCGGGCTGGAAAAAGGTAACAAAGCAACAATAACCTTGCTTACTGTCATAAATAAAATATTGACGACCATCATACTGAAAAGATTAACAAACAAGGTTGAGTTTCGAGCTAATCAAGCAGGCTTTAGACCAGAATCCTTCTGCATAGACCACATTAATACTGTGAGGGTAATAATGGAACAATCGGTTGAATGGAACAGACCCCTATACATGGTTTTTGTTGATTTCGAACGCGCCTTTGACAGCTTGTCTCATGCTGCTATATGGAAAATTTTAGAGCTAAGAAACACCCCAAAAAATAATTTCTATTATAAAATCACTATATACTGATGCGAAATGCAGGGATGCGTGCTTTACTACTATTACTTTAAGAATACTATTAGGTCAGAGATTTCAAGATCTGGCTTACCAATTGGAAACACTTTCCACTGAAGCCAATAAAATAGGTTTGAAAATCAATATTAGTAAAACAAAATCCATGAGAATAAATGCAAGGAACAACACGCTATTTACTATCGACAATATGCAGATTGAAAATGTGGAAAACTTTACGTATTTTGGAAGTGTCATAACAGAAAACGGAGGTACAGAAGACGATATTCGTATGAGGATACGAAAAGCCCAACAAGCTTTCAGCACGCTCCACCCTGTTTGGAGATCTGGCGAGTATACTACAAGGACAAAGATCCGAATATTCCGATCAAATGTCATGTCTGTTCTACTCTACGGATGTGAAACCTGAAAAGTGACAAACACCCTCGCAGACAAACTGCAGGTCTTTGTTAACAAATGTCTACGAAGAATTGTCCGTATATTCTGGACTAACACCATCAGAAACGAAGATCTGCTACACCTGACCGAACAAAAGAGAATACAAAATGAAATTAAGTCCAGAAAGTGGGGTTGGATCGGTCACACACTACGAAAAAGTTGGCGGGAACATTTCCGACTGTGGAATTTTAATTCGAGGATGGAGGGGGCGATATTTTCTTTATGAGAGGTCTCCATGTAGAAGGTAACCGTATGGCGTCATCTCTTTTATTAAGACAATTTGGCCTTTTTTCTATTTCTATGGCTTCTCGGATAATTCTTGGTTTATAGAAGCGGATGGGGGCTATGGTTCTGGAGTTTTCAAAATCAATTTTATGACCTGTATAAAGATGGTGTTGACCGAGAGCTGAAATTGAATCAGAATTGCGAACAGAAATGGAATGTTTATAAATCCTATTTTGGATTCTACGATTTGTTTGGCCTATATAGGATCGGGGACAGTCTGCACAAGGTATTTCATAAACTCCGTGTTGTTCATTTGGAATATTGTCTTTGATAGATCGGACAAGAGACGAAAGTTTTTGTTGGGGAGTAAATATTGTTTTTATTCCTCTTGGTTTCAGAAGTCGATTTTGTCAGTGACACCTTTAATATAAGGAAGAAAAGCTTTCGTATGATAAGGGTCCGAGTCTTTGGGTTGAGAATGAGTGGGAGATTGATGTCTGTGAATGCTCCTATTGATGTGATTTTCGCGGTAACCGTTTTGGATTAAGGCTTGTTTTAAACAAGGGGGTTCAGCGGGTCTACTTGCATCATCGGAAAGGCGTATTGATCTGGAGACAAGGGTATTAATGACTGAATTAATTTGTGAAGGTGGATGGTGAGAGTTGGCATGCAAGTAACGATTGGTATGTGTGGGTTTTCGATAAACAGAGTAATGGAAACCTTGGGATTGATTTTTCTTGATGAAAACATCGAGAAACGGTAGGGATGAATCAGTTTCCATCTCCATCGTGAACTGATTACTAGGATGTATACCATTCAGATGAGTTTGAAAAGATACTAAAGCATCCCTGCCATGGAGCCAAATGACGAATGTATCGTCAACATATCGTAGCCAACATGTGGGCTTGAGCATTGATGTGGATAGTGCTCGGGTCTCGAAGTCTTCCATAAAGATATTGGCAATTACTGGAGATAGAGGGGAGCCCATTGGGGCACCATTTATTTGTCTGTAGAATTTGTTTTGAAAGATGAAATAGGTGTTGGACATACAATGTTTAATGAGAGAGAAGTGATCTTGTGGAATACTATATTTAGTTTTCAGAATGTTTAAAGTTTCATCTATTGGAATGTTTGTAAAGAGTGAGACAATATCGAAACTTACTAGAATGTCTGACGCTGATATAGGGTATTTTTTAAGAAGTTTGATGAAATGAAAAGAGTTTTTGACGAAAGGATGAAGCATTTTCGGCGAAAGGTTGTAGAGTTTTGGCCAAATACTTGGCCAAGGGTTGTGTAGGGCAGTTGTATGCACTGACAATGGGACGAAGAGGAATATCGGGTTTATGAATTTTGGATAGGCCATATATTCGAGGTGTTCTTGAAGACTTTTCACGAGGAATTAGTGATTTTTTGATGTCAACAGGAAGAGAGGTTTTATTGACAATGGCTTTTGTTGTTTTCTCCAGATAGGTTGTTGGATTATTAGGAATTGGTTTGGAACTTCAGACTACAATATACTATAATATAACAAATTAATGTTTAAAATACCAATTTGAGTATAAAAACTATTTTCGAAATAGTTCAGTTTAGTCCAATTATTCAAATATATAAATTCAAACCAAGTTCTCTTATATGCAGCTACTAACTGTAACGAAAGACGAATAAATAAAATAAGAGTTACACAATACGCGATGGAGTTCGGGGTTCGGATGCAGTTGAAAGAACAGCCATGGCCAAATGGAGTTGGTCGGACTGTTGTCAGACTGACGGATGACATGTTGAGTAGAAAGATTCTGGAATGGCTACCAAGACAAGAGGCATACGATGCGGATTACCACGAAATGGATGCAAGAAAGCTACTTCCTCAAGAAAAAAATAACTGGAAAAGTTTATGGGAGGCCTACGTTCAGCAGTAAAGAAATATGGGCTAATTGATGAATATAGCCAAGTATAGCATCGATCATGAACAAAATTGAAGCATTAGAAATGTGGGGTCATAGACGATTGCTGAAGATACCTTGGACAGCAAGGAAAACTAATGAAGAAGTACTAAGGAGCGTCAACAAAGATAGACAACTTCTAAAGACTGTTAAACATTGAAAAATGTCTTATCTGGGACATATAGTAAGGGGAAGGAAACGGGTTTCTTGGTTGAGGAACATTCGTGAATGGACTCGGATATCAAACGCGGGACAATTATTCCATATTGCAGAAGATCGAGAAGCTTTCGCAATGGTGATGGCCAACGTCGAATAATTCTTATATGGCACACGGAAAAGAAGAAGCCAATTATTGAGGTGTTCAGTCAACAGATTTATCGGCACAGCAAAATATGCTTGAGTAAGAGAGATTGATCGTTTGATACTATAGCATGTATATTGTTAATTATAGCTTTTTACAAAACAAAATTGTATTCAGATGCGTTTTCTCGTGTCAATGATGGACCCGTTGTCAAAATTGCTCTACTTATAGATAGTTTTTTGTCTGAAACAAATTCCACAGATAAGTTTATTCTTAAAGTTTATTTACAAAAACATGGTACCTTAGAATATTTCAATGTAGTTGCCTTGGTTTTCAAGCATTTATTTGTATCGTGGAATCAGTTTTTCGAGGCCGGTGTTGTAGTCTTCCACCGCCAAACGTCTGAGCCAGGCTACCACTTAATCTTTAAGCTCTTCGCTTCCTAACACCTGTCCACCCAAGAATTCCTTCAGTTTCGAAAACAGATGAAAATCGGAAGGCACGAGGTCTGGGCCTCGATGGGGAGGGTGCTCGAAAATGTCCAATTGTAGACATTTAAGTTCTTGCCGATGCATAGGGTCGAAACTTGTCCTGTATCAGAAACACCTTCGTCGACAACATATCACGTTGTTTATTCTGTATTGCACGTTTTAGTCTTTGAAGGGTTTCGCAATAGGCTTCTGATTTATTGTTTCTTTATTCTTCTCTATAGTGTTCTTTTAAAAACTCATTATTCATACTCAAGGCATCATTTAAATAAATTTTTACTTATAAACTAATGTACTTATTACATACCTTAACAAATGCTTCGTGTGGTAAATTTTCGTTAGATTTTAAAGATCTACTAATAAGTTTTTCTAACGCTGAGGTAGTATCACTCATATTTTTGACTGAGTCCCATTTTCCTGGTACCCATTCGTACCTAATATGAGATGTGTCTCTTCTCCACAAAATCACAATGCGCAATAAAGGCTGTATTATTTCACCTTCTGAAAAATAAGAATAATTTAATATACATATGTGTAAAATACAATTAAAAAGAGATATATGATTGAAAATATTTATATTTTTTCCTAGTATCTGGTAACATATCAAAAATTATATTTAGTATGGCCAAACAGTTTTTGTTGTACTTGTGCTTGTATTCTGTGGCTATACTCATTCCGATTCATTGATTAAGATTTTTATCCATGATGTTCTTGTTCGAGCTGCACTTATTCTACCTGAGACTGAATTACTCCAAGAATGAATTCTCCCAAGTCTCCAGAACTGCGCTCACTTCACTTGTTTTATCTTTTATAGCATAATTTCTGGGTTTAAATTCTTTGGGAGTACCGATTGTTAAACTTAGCAGTGGGTTTATTCTCTGTTTGAAAGTTACCAGTTCAGTTTCGATTAACATATGAGGTCGAGGAGTGGGCTTTCGGAAAACAGCTAACAGGAGTTGGTGATCACTTCCACAATCTGCACCTCGACAAGTTTTAGCGTTTGTAACTGAGAACTTCCACCTTGATTTGATCACGATATAAAATCTATCTTATTCCATGTTCTGTCCGTCGGGGATTTCTAAGTGTAGAGTCTTCGCGGGAAGTGTTGGAAGTAGGTGTTCATAGGTGTTGTAGGACAATTTTCTTTGTCGCAGAATTCAGATTTTACCTAAACCGAAAGAACCAATGGTCAATCGCATGTGGTGATTAATTCTAGCATTGAAGTCGTCTATTATCATTATAGAGCTCTATCTGTTTTTGTTCCTTTAAATAGATACAAAACGTCTAAACTTCCTAGTTAGTTTTTAGCAGAGCTAAAATATCTCGTTAAGCAAAAATAATTCCTCACATGATTTATCAATTTTTCCATATTTTAGAACTAGATGTAAAGCCTTGTCTGATATCTGCCATAAATATTATGCTCCTAATTTAGATCAGTTACATTATGATGATCCAAGAAGTTTTCGTACAATTTGAACAATAAGAGGGATGCTAATAATATTTCAAATTTAATGGTCTATAATAATACTAATAATGAACTTAAAACTGTAAACCTAAACATAGCAGAAAATCTTGCCTAATTTTTTGTAACTATGCACAGTCAGAAACTAGTGTAAACATGGTTATTCCTAATCATAGACCGACAGTTGGAATAATTTTCGATAAAATTTCAAGGTTGACATCCAAAGTCAGCGTAGGTCCTAATAGTATGAAAATTATTTTCGAAAATACTGTGTATATACTATTTTTACTCCCTTTTTAAAATGTTATTACATTTTTCAATATTTCCAACTGAAAAGTTGCCTTAAAATTCATGAAAACCTAGTATCAATTGACCACAAGAGCTGCGCATTAGAGTACATACATATACAATAAATAAATAAATTCTTACCTGGCACTAAAGAATTAACAAACTCGGACTGTTTGTCGTAATAAATGTAAACAAATCTCACTTTTTCGACACTGTAAGGCGACTGTTGTGCAAAATACATAAATGATTGTCTGTAAGGGTGATAATACGAAGAAGACGTTGTTACTAAAACAACGCACAGCTTCTTTCTAGGTTTATTAAACTCTTCGGGACATAGCGCTTCTAAAACAGCCTAAAACAAATACATAAATAATTTATATACAAGGTGATATCTAAAACTATTTCAAAACATATTTGCAGTTATTTTGTTGTATTCTTGATATAGCCGACATATTTTTAGTTTTCTTGTTGTTAAAAAAACTAGTTATATAAATTACATATAGTAGTATAGTTGTACTAGTAACATAATTGTGATTGTATATTTAAATTTTAACTTTTATATACGTATATAACTTCTGATTTGTTATTTTAATACGTTTCCGTATGACCAGGTGTCGCTTAAATATATTTCCGTAGGTGTTGCTTAGATATTTTTGATGTGTATAGTATATATTTAAAACTTAATTTTTGGAAAAAATTGAAATTTTCCAAACGAATTAAAATTTCATAACGTTTTCGGTCTTATCCAACCATCATCAGTGAAAACACAATTAGCAATTGAAACTAGCTACTTGAAAATGTGTAATAACCCTTAGATTACATATTAAATGTACTAAAAATTAAAAATAAAGTAACATGAGGTCAACTCTCAGTTGGTTGGTACCTTTCCTAGGTCATAGATGTAGTTCGTGCGAGTAGAGTTAGTAAATTAGACGAGTAAAATCTTTTAACATCGAAAACGTTCTGAAATTTTAATCCGTTCAGAGAATTTAATTTTTTTATAAAAATAATTTTTAAATATAAATATTATTTAATTTTCACTTCACGGTAAGCTTTTTTCTTCTTTGTTAAATATTTATAGAACATTATTTGATGTTGTTCACTTGAAAAAGGACGTTCAGTAATAAGTAAGTTCGTGTGACCTTCTGGATAAGGTCAAGTGTTGGGATTTTCAGGTCTCAAAAGCGCCCCTAATATAACTTAACGACTTACGCAGCCGGGACCAACAGATTAAATTAGATTAAACAGATTAAGCCAGTAACACAACCACTGCACAACGGCCGCCACTTACTTAAGGTAATTTATGGAGTTATCCATGAAAAGTGTATTCGAATTGCACGAGTAAATTTTATATTTTCGATTGTGATCTGTTTCGAGTTATACAAATTACGTAGTTTTATTATCATAATCTGTATTTCCAAAAACTCTGCTGAAAGATGATTATCTTATTTAAATAAAGTAAACATGTATTTTACCTCAACAAAAGAAATCACAGAAATTTTTGCAGACTTTACGAACAAAATTCCAGCACTAACAACTACTCCCCAAATTTTCTTCAATTTAAACTTAGAAATGAAAGAAGGAGATAATGATCAGAGAATACGGATGACTATATGAACTCTCCAATTTAAATAGAAGAACTAAACGATGTATTATTTGGCATAAAAAACTCTTCTCCGGGTCCAGATGATATACCAATAATTTTTATCCAAAAACTAAGCACAAAAGCTAGAACATACCTCGTTAATGTTTTAAACCAAATGTGGATATAGCACTACTTTCCAAAATCTTGGTCAAAATCATATATTATCCCAATCGAAAAAGTCCTATAAGCCAATATCCCTAACCCCATCAATCTGTAAGCTATTCGAAAAGGTTATAAACCGTCGCCTTACATGGTTTCTGGAAGATAAAAAATTACTTATCCCGGAGCAAAACGGCTTTCGTCAAAACAGATCAACGGGAATAACCTAGTTGATGTTGAATCCGAAGTTCATGAAGCACTCATTAACAAACAACACTGTCTATTACACATGGAGATATGGTATAATAAAAAGCTTCACTCCTTGGGTATTAATGGATAATTCCTAAAATTTATTCAAAATTTTCTTCAACTCAGAACATTTAAGGTACGAGCAAATGGAACACTATCATCAACTCGAATCCAGAAAAACGGAGTCCCTCAAGGATCGGTGTGTGGTATAACTTTGGTTCTTGTTGCAATTAACGATATCTTGAAACAATCTTCTTCTTCTTCTTAGAGTGCCATATCCCTACGGAACGTCGGCGACTACCATGCTTATTATATTGTTAAACCGATCTCGGTCTTGCGCAACGTGTAGCAATTGGTCCGCTGTCAAACCTGTCCACTGCCGCAAATTCCTCAACCATGAGAGTTTCTTCCGTTCTATCCATTTCTTTCCTTCGATTTTACCGTTGAGAATTAGCCGAAGGAACTCATATCTTGGTCCTCTGATTATATGTCCAAGATATTTTAGTTTACGCCTCTTAATAATATTTAATAGAGTTCGTTGATGTCCCATTCTTCGAAGAACTTCTTCGTTTCTGGTTCTGCTAGTCCATGGAATTTTTAGTATCGTTCGATACAACCACATCTCAAATGCCTCGATTTCATTCATGATATCGGCGTTTAAAGTCCAAGTTTCATATCCATACAAAAGTACAGACCACACGTAACATCTTGTAAACTTTTCACGGATTTCCAAATTTAATGAGTTATTGGATAATAGAGGCTTGAATTTTTGAAATGAGTTTCTTGCCTGTTCAATTCTACATCGAATTTCGAAGGATGGATCTAGATTTTGGGTAATCCAACATCCAAGGTATTTGAATCTCTGAACTCTCTGCAGCGGTTGTTGGTTTAATATCAGTTGGGTTGCGCCGATATCCACTTTACTGGTCATCATGTATTTAGTTTTATCGATATTTATTGACAGTCCCCAATTTGTGCATTCCATGTCAACTCTATTGATTAGCTCCTGCAGATCGTCGATGTTTTCAGCTAGAATCACAGTATCGTCGGCGAACCGTATATTGTTAATTATTTCTCCTCCTATGATAATTCCTTTTTGATCTTTTAAAGATTCCCTAAATAGATTCTCAGAATACACGTTAAAGAGGGTGGGAGATAGTATACAGCTTTGTCTTACGCCTCGTTCAATACTTGACTAATTATTTCTTCGCACTTGTTGTTAATTCGGTTTAGAAAAATATGCAACAGTATTTTTAACGGCGTGGGTCATTAAACTAATGAGTCTACAATCGCTACATTTCTTAACGTTTGGTTTCTTAGGTAGAGGATTAAAGATCGATTTTAACCAGTCCGATGGAATTTCACTGGAATCATATATTTGATTGAAAAGTACAATGAAACTATATGTTGAAACAATGTCAACAACCAATTAAAGGAAGACTGTACGCAGACGATCTGGTTCTCCTACTAAGAGGAACAAATCTAGAATCCACCCAAAGAAGTCTTCAAAGCACATTAAATAATCTTAAGAAATAGTCTGACAAAACAGGACTCAGCTTCTCTATCGAAAAAACAAAATGCTTGCTCTTTTCAAAAAATTGTAACATTGAGTGGTAAGAATCTGATCTTTCTAAAAGAAATAAAATTCTTCGGTCTTACATTTGACAAAACATCGGTTTCAAAAAGTCATATTAAAAATATAAAAATCAGCAAAGCATTAATATTTTAAAGACATTGTCGAAAATCACCTGAGGCAGCGATACGGCAACTCTTCTACGGAACTTTTCATCCTTAGTTCGACCAAAAATTGACTACGGCTCAGTGGTATATAACTCAGACAAGAAATCTGTTCTTAAAGAACTAGATGTAATTAAAAATACGGGACTGCGAGTCGCTTTGGGTACCTTTCGAACAAGCCCCATACTAAGTATATGCAGTCAGTCATGGCAAGCCCCTCTAGAATTTAGAAGAGATTTTTTAAGTTTGTCGTTTGCTTGTAAATTCTATCCTCCCCAAATAACAACCGTTTCAGCAACTACTTCTCATCTCGCCCTCAATGTAATCTGCCTTTCTACGAACAAATTAACCAATTACTTCATAAATATAGCATAATATTCCAACATACCACCCTATCGAAAACCCTTGTCTTACATGGACTGTAAATAAACCACCAGCGATTAAACATGAATCCCCACCAGCCATATTAATAAACCACTTAAAATATAGATAGATAGCGACTACGGACAGATCTACACAGACGCATCAAAAACAACAGACGGAGTGGGGGCAGCCATTTTATTTAATACTCGTAATGCTAAATTTAAGTTGCATACCAACTGGACTATCCCCAATGCAGAACTGTACGCAATCCTTGAAGCTCTAAAATTCATTAACAAAACGGACAAGAGAAATTACAGAATCACAACTGACTCAAAGACGTTTACAAAGAACTTCAAACTGCTGCAAAAGAAAACAAACACGTGGTACTAATCTGGGTTCCATCTCATATTGGAGAACACGGTAACGAGGTTGTGGACCGTATAGCTCACGAAGCAACAACAAGTGATGGTCAAGTTCAACTAAAAAAAATAGTGCGAAGTGATCTTATATTGTGCTTAAAAAACATAGTTAATTGTGCGTGGCAAAACAAATGGCCGCAGTGTTCCGAAAAACTAGGTCAAATTAAAGACAATGCTTTACATAAACAAGCCTTTTTGTTACCTAGAAAAAAACAAGTCATCTTTACTCGACTCCGACTTGGTCACACCCGCTATACACAAACCAACAGTACAGTAGAACATATTTTAACCGAATTTCAAATTTTCCAGGAAACGGGAAGTAAACTCAATCTTCCCAGAGACATAGGCGAGCTTCTTAGAGGCAATAATCATCTAACAACATTATAAAGTTTTTAACGGCTATTGGCACAAAAGATATTTAAATTGAAATCTAGTTTGGATCACAGATTACATATATCAATCTTCTTTCATGTTAGTATGGTAATATGTATTACATATATCCTTTCTTTGTTTTCATATGTATTTTCCATTGTTGTCGTCTATAACCTCAGTGATTCGGACGACATTAAAAAAATAAATAAAAAAAACATGTATTTTTAAACAATTCTCAAAAACAATAAAGTTTACCAGCTTTAGCATTAATTAATATTATACGAATATGCATCGTTAGAGAAAAGGAGATCATCATCAAAATTATAAAATATGTAATAAAAGATCTGGATAGAACAAAAATAAAAGGATACACTTAAATTAAAAAAAAAAACTATATTAGAAGGTATATCTTTCCTCAACATACAAAGTTTGGTGAGAATTCTTTTATTTTTACATTTTTTTTTGTGT